TCTAAAGGTCAGTTTTTTATTTTTGGAAAATAAACATGTCTATACTTACCTGCTGTATGTAGTGTATGCAGAGAGAGAGAGAGAAGAAAAAGATGCAGGGAGGAGGGAACCCCGGTGGCAGCACTGCAGGAGATGAGGGGGGGGGGTGGCCGTGGGGGGGGGGGAGCATACAGGAGATGGATAGGAGGGGCAGACAGGTGGCACATAAAGGAACTGTGAAATACACAGTCTGGTTCCTCTATGTGCTGCCCCTCTTATCCAGGCAGCCCCAGCCCACCGGGCAAATGCCCAGTGTGCCCTATGGCCAGTCCGGGACTGCCCTCTGCACAGTTTTTGTGGACATGGGCTTTAGCAGACTAAGATTGTGCTCTGCCAATCACTTATGCAACAGTTTCTGCACAATGTCCTTTTGTCTCTTTCGGTCAGTTGACCATGTCGACCATGCTCATGCTTATAAGACGATGTTTTCGCAGAACCTGTATATGCCGTCATAACCTTTGATACTGTACCTTGCGTCATGGTAAATAAATTGGCAACTTCAGTCACAGAGGCATCAGCTAAGCAACACCAACAATGTTGCCCTCTTTGAAGCTCAGTAACCTCGACATGACTATATTACTAGCAGTGCATGCAGTGAATGATGAAAGTAGGCTTTCCATGTGTTAGCCAGGTGTCTCATCACACAGCGGAAGCATACAAATGTTTCATCACACCTGCAAATCATGTAGTGTTGCCATATTTTTGTCCAACCCCTGTATATTCATGTACAACATTTCATTTTAAGAAAAAAAAAAAGATAAATTCTGGCTTTCGCTCACTACACGCTACTAAAAAACTCACTAATGATCTACTAACTGCTAAAACCAATGGCCACTACTCCCTACTCTTACTACTTGACCTCTCTGCGGCTTTTGATACAGTTGACCATCCCCTCCTCCTCAAAAAAAACTCCACTCTCTTGGTCTCCGAGACTCTGCTCTCTCCTGGTTCTCCTCCTACCTACCGCAGCGCTTCTTCAGCGTTATTTATAACTCTGCCTCCTCCTCTCCACTTCCTCTTTCTGTAGGGGGCCCTCAAGGTTCTGTCCTTGGACCCCTACTCTTCTCCATCTACACCTCCTCCCTTTGTCCCTTGATAAACTCCCATGGCTTTAAGTACCATCTCTATGCTGATGACACACAAATCTATCTTTCTATCCCTCACCTCACCCCTTCAGTCTCCTCTCGCATTACTAACCTACTAAGCGAAATATCGGCATGGATGTCACTCCACTTCCTCAAACGCAATCTTTCCGAAACTGAGCTCTTAGTATTTCCTCCAGCTCGTGCCCCCTCCCCTGACTTCTCCATCAAGGACCAATAACACAATCATCGGCCCCTCCCCTCATGCCAGGGAACTAGGTGTAATCCTAGACTCCCATCTGTCCTTTCAGACCCAAATCCAATCGCTGTCTAAATCTTGTAGACTTCACCTCCGCAACATCTCCAAGATACGGCTGTTCTTAACCTCGGAAACCACTAAGCAACTTACTCACTCCCTGGTTATCTCTCGCCTTGACTATTGTAACTCCCTCCTCATTGGCCTACCGAATCGCAGGCTATTCCCTCTTCAGTCTATCATGAATGCTGCTGCCAGACTCATCCACCTTACTAACCAAACCCTCCACTGGCTTCCCGTTGCCCAACGGATAAAATTCAAAACATTAACAATAACATATAAAGCCATTTATAACTCTGCCCCAAGTTACATCACTGATCTTGTCTTCAAATATCACCCAAACCGTAGTCTTCACTCCTCGCACGACCTCCTGCTCTCTAGATCCCTTGTCTCCTCCTCCCATGCTCGTCTCCAGGACTTCTCCAGAGCTTCCCCCATCCTCTGGAATTCTCTACCCCAATTTATCAGACTATCGCCTACTCTGCTCACTTTCAGGCGATCTCTGAAAACCTATCTCTTCCAGGAAGCCTATCCTGCCATCAGCTAACAATGGAATCTTCTACTCTTCCTACCAGTCCATCCCCCACAGTTACTGCCTTTTGTACCACTAGCCCCTCCCTCCGAGATTGTAAGCTCCGAGGAGCAGGGCCCTCCTATCCCTCTTGTATTGAACTGTATTGTTGCTGTATTGTCTCCCATTATATTGTAAAGCGCTGAGCAAACTGTTGGCGCTTTATAAATCCTGTATAATAATAATAAATATTTGAAATTTTATATTTTTTTTTAGTCCTAAATTTAATGCAAAGAATGAAAATACCTGGAAACTCACTAATGGGAAAATATAAGGAATTTGGGTCATTGTTATTTAAATTTTATTTAAATGTAGTAAATGTTTCAAATCTTTCTTCTCCTTACCTAAAATCCTTTCCTTTAAAAAAAAAAAAAAAATACCACAGGGCATTGTGGTTTTTCTAAAAGCAAGAAGCCGTGAGGGTGAAATGTGTTGGGGCAGTCTTCAGGTAGGGACGTGTTGCATAGTTTTTATTGCTGAATCGCCCAGTGACGTAAACGCTGTGTGGCTTTCCTTTCCCGGCACTGTATTTTCATGGAGTATGGATGGGTTTCCAAGATTAGTGCCTTGCGTGCCTGCAGCAAAAGGAGGATTACAATCCAAACGCACACGTTCCTGCCTTAAAAAATGGCTGTGTGTACAAGTGGGTGCTGCAGCGACCGTCGGCTGCAACCAAACAGAATCAGCAAGGGAGAATGTCACCAGCACACCGAGGATCACCAATATGGGTCTAAAAGTTTTAATGAACGATCACATAGTTCCAGCAAGGCACCGTTTAGGAGTTTCGCAGGACCCCTTCATCGGGCATGTGACCACTTACGTGATGAAGGGGTCCTGTGAGACTCTGAAACGTTGCTTTGCTGTAACTATGTGATCGTTCATTAAAACTTTTGGACCCATATTGGTGATCCTCGGTGTGCTGGTGACATTCTCTCTTGCAGCAAAAGGAGGACACAAACAAGCAAAAGATTTGTCAGCACACTTACCAGCTAGCCTGCTAAACAACTAAATTGACCCTGTCTAACAATTCACATTATAAACAGAGCCTTTAGTTTACATACTAAACCCTCTGTTGTTATCCTGAATTGTTAGACAGGGTCAGTTTAGTTTTGCAGACTAGCTGGTAAGTGTGCTGACAAATCTTTTGTTTGCTTGTGTTGCCCTTCCATGTGCACCTTACTGCAAAGGCCAATTATAGATTGTGGTGGTTTCCACTTTTTAGTAGTTAGCAACAGGAGGTGGTTGAACTTTTGAGCGGTGGGCTTTTTATGATCTACTCACAGCCACCAGCTGTTTGCTTTCAGACTGTCTCTCTTGAATTAAAAAATGTACGGAATTGTGTTGAGAGAGAGGTGGGGAGTAACTTATATTGACTAATTCATTGTAATTTGTGAAGTTGAGCTCTGTAAGTAGGCTTTTTCCAAAACAGAGATTATGTCCCTGGAAATAATTTGAGAAGGAGTCTAAAGTGTAGAGCTCAAACTGCTGATTGAAAATGATAAAAACGAAATATTCGCATGCAAAATTTTTTTTAGACGTGACTGAAGAAAAAAGTATTTTTATTCCTAGACATAATTGAGAGAAATAAATGTATACAACAATAGAAGGGTGTTCTTCCTAGCAGTAAAATTACAATGATACAGTGTAATGCTGTGTGGTGCTATAGTAGAATTCATTTAAACTGGCCATACACGTGGCCGCTTTTTCCTGGAGCAATTGTCTCCCTTTTTTTTTTTTTTTTTTTAGTTGAATCGCAAATAATTTCAAGGCATAAAATTGTGGGTTTAATTGATCGCAAGAAGATGAGATTGAAATTCCCCCAAATGATTACAGCAGAAAGTTTTGTATGCTTTTTGGAGACATTGTCATAGTTATTTCTATTTGATTTTTCTGTAAATTGTATTGACGATTTGAATTAATTTTCAACTTCACAATCAGCCAAATTTTGGTAGTCGATTGAGCTACTGAATGATAAATTGCTAAGTTTCTGTGAATTATTTAAGATTGCATTTTTGGAGCATGGAAAGAGTTTACAATTGACTGAAAATCACCAACTTTAGTGTTGCACACTTTTATTAGGAATAAGGTTCTCGTGGAATGCGGAGGTCGCTCATGGAGTGAGCAAAAGAGCTGTCTTTCCCATCTGGCCTATGGTGGCTGAGCTGATATCTTCTAGATTAATGAATCTGACACAGTGTCACGTATAATTGACAAGATGTGTATATAGTAAGCTAGATGTGTTTTAATATCAGTAACAATGCAGGGGCCTTTTAAGCTGGCAATGTGGTGGAGATAAAATCTGCTTGTGGAGTCATTGAAAATCTGGCAGGTGATTCAACCAACCCATTGTATTAATTTTGGATGGATGCCCTTTAATTCAGTACTTCTAATGTTATATCTGAAAAAAGTCAATCTATAATGACTGTAACTAAATAGTTTAGGTTTACAAATGTCATTAAAAGACTTAAGGAAAATACAGTACTTTCCAAGAAGCGTTAATGAACCGGTTTATCAAGTTTTTTTTTCTCTTCCATTTTACACAGATAAAGTGAACTTGTCAGGAAGTTTGGATGACTTTTTTTCTTTTTATTATTTTGTACCAACTCAAAAATTTAAGATTTCCATACCATAAATTTAATGAAATATTGATCTTTATTTTTTAACCAGAAAACAAATGTACTGAAATTTAAAGTACTGTAAATGTAAACCCTAACTGGCTCACAATTCATTTTCTAGAGCATAGTGTATTATAAAAAATTGCTATGTGGTTTTTTTTTCCATAAAATACTATTTTTCAACGTTTTTTTCATCAGTGTTTTGACTATCAGTACTGCTGACCTTCTCCAGCCTATTTTAGCTACTACTTGTTTTCATGCACTTGCTTCAGTGTCTGCTGCGTATTGTTGCTGTTGACTGGCTTCTTGTTGAATTTGTGCTGGCACTGCCACTTGTAGCCTCCACCAGGGCTTATGTGATGGGATGACAACATAGGAGCTTAACCTCCCTGTCGGTATTCCCGAGTGTAGCTCAGGGTAAAGTTTCAGTACCAAAAGCGGTAACCCCGAGCTACACTCAGGCTTACCATGCGGCGCTGCTCCGGGATCTGTTCTTCACTTACCTTGTCCTGCGCTCCTGCAATGTCCCTCCTGCAGTGTCCCCGGCAATGCCGGCATCTGTCATCTGGGTTCCGTCCCCTGTGAGCGCTGGGACGTACAGGGACGGAACGGCGGATAATTTGAAAATAACAAAAAGTGACATTCACTAAATACACTAAAATCACATAGTACAACATTACTGTATCAAACCATTTCACATACATTTTGTCCCTAGTGCTTTGTCCTGTGCCCTGCCTACATTTTTACTGTTCTTTCTGCCTGGAAACTGAGAAACGTCCATGGCGTCCAAAAAGCGTCTCTTTAGGTCAAAAGCGGTTTTAGACCAGCTAGAGAACAGCGATAGTAAATTAGAACCACTTGCAGAATTGAGTGATAATGATTTGTGGGGAAATTCGTCATCAGACACTGAAAACGATTTTGCAACTTTGCTCAGTGATGTGCGAACTTGGCGCTATATTTCAAATTTCAGTATTTTTGGTTTGATTATATTATTGAATTAAATGTATTATTATTATATTATTTTTTTTATGATTATTAAATTATAATTTATGATTTCGTGTTTCACATTTTATCCTACCCGGGATGTTTACTAGACTCTTGTTCGGACAGATTTCAGTGAGTTATTCCTAAAAATTACAGGCCTACAATAAAAAAAATACATATTTCCATGCAAAAAAATGTACCGCTTTGAGCACAGAAATATAGACATAATCAGACCGCTAGGGAGGTTAACTGAGAGACCTTTTTCAGGAAGTGCCTGAATAAGGACCTTCATGGCAGGATCACAAGATAGACTTTTAATGAAAGCTGCAGTCAAAAACGACTTTTAAAATTATGTAAAATAATCAACATGTTAAAGCTTATATGAAATTTTAGTTAATGGAGAGATACTTTGATTAGACAAAAATGTGACACTCTTTCAGTGGGTCATGGACCATCTTTCCTTTTTTTACAATTCCAGTTTGTCATGTTCAATAATGTTTTCTTCTTTTTATAGATATAGCTTGGTTGCCATTCATTACTTTTTATAGTGAATTAATAATATAACTATAAATGGACTCCACAATATGAGCAATTGATATATCCTGGTTTTTAGATATAGTCTTCTAGCCTTAGTTTTTCTAACATCTCACAGACCTAGTAATGCCCACTTGGTTGTCGCCTTTAGATGGGCTCTCGCTTCCACATATGGGATCCACTATCTTGCATACAGTCTTCCTTCCCACCTGTCTCAGCCACTCCTACTTTTTTACTGTGTAAGTGGAATAATGAAACCATGTGTTAAAGTGACATATGCTGCATGCCTTCTGGTCTGATATAGATATATATATATATATATATATATATATATATATATATATATATATATACACATATTTTGTTCTTTTCATTTATTCGAATATAGTCACGAAACATGCTGAGCTGGATTAAACCATCTAGGATTGTGGCAATTCCCGACCATGCAAAATTGTAAATGGCATTATACAGTATCCTATGTATTACCATCAACATCAGAGGTTGGGGGGGCCTAGACAACCTTTGGAAAAGGAATCCAAAGCATATACTTTGTATACTTCTCACTGGTGCTAATCAATTTTTTTTAAAACATTTAAATGTTATACAGTTTGTTGTATTTGGGTCTAAAAAGTCAATTTTCTTCTTTGAATTACATATTGGGTCACAAATAGGATGTGGCACAGTTTATCACTTAGGTGTCCACAGTACCAGCTGTGTTATATATACTTGTGTATATATATATATATATATACAAGTTCTAATGGCTTATTGCAGCTATATGAAAGGTCCTAGATGGTTTAATCCACCTCAGCATGTTTTGTGACTATTCGCTTCTTCAGAATTAATGAAAAAGAACAAAATATATTTCATATAGCTGCAATAAGCCATTAGAACTTGTGATTCATATACACTCAAAAATCCAACCAAAGCATTTGTTTTGACAGGTGGTAGTTGAACAAGAAGATACTGGAGTTTACTTCCATGTATATATATTAGTGATGAAGAGGATGGAAAGTGGGTTAGAAAATAGTAAGAAGCTATTACTGGAGATAATAACCTAATTAGAAGAAAAAAGGAAAAGGATTCCAGAACAGGGAAGGTAGAGGATAAAACAAACAATTCCAAAGTGGTGCCTTAGCAGGTAGGAGGTGAAGGATAAGACAGTGAGCAGTATGTGCAGGAAAGTAGTATTTAGCATTTGACCGCTGGCAGTAGGGGCAGGAGGGAAAGGTTGGGCAGGGGTTGTCAGCAGACAGTATGTGCAGTGTACAGGAGAGGAGTGGGAGAATGTCATAGGGTAATTGTGCAGGAGAAGAGTGTGGATATTATGACAGGTGCAGTATATGAACTAGAGGAGTATGACAAAGGGCAGTATGTGCAGGAGAGTCGTGCAGATGATATCTTAGGGAGCAGTATAAGTAGGAGGCGTATAGAGGATATGACAGCAAGCAGTATGTGCAGGAGGAGGAAGGAGGGTGTGGCAGTGGGCAGTATCTACAGACAAGTACACTGCTCAAAAAATAAAGGAACACTTTTTAATCAGAGAATAGCATCAAGTCAGTTAAACTCCTGGGATATTGATCTGGTCAGTTAAGTTGCAGAGGAGGTTGTTAATCAGTTTCCGCTTCTTTGGTGTTAATGAAATTAACCACTAGTGAACTAGATGGGCAACAATGAGACAACCCCCAAAACAGGAATGGTTTTACAGGTGGAGGCCACTGGCATTTTTTTCCCCTACTCATGTTTTCTGACTGTTTTTTACTAGATTTGCATTTGACTAGGGTCAGTGTCACTACTGGTAGCATGAGGTCATACTTGGACCCTACAGAAGTTGCACAGGCAGTCCAACTCCTCGAGGATGGCACATCAATACGTGCCATTGCCAGAAGGTTTGCTGTGTCACCCAGTACAGTCTCAAGAGCATGTAAGAGATTCCAGGAAGTAGGTAGTTACTCTAGAAGAGCTGGACAGGGCCGTACAAGGTCCTTAACCCATCAGCAGGACCGGTATCTGCTCCTTTGTGCAAGGAGGAACAGGATAGGATGAGCACTGCCAGAGCCCTTCAAAATTACCTCCAACAGGACACTGGTGTGAATGTCTCTGACTAAACAATCAGAAACAGACTTCATGAGGGTGGCCTGAGGGCCCGACGTCCTCTAGTGGGCCCTGTGCTCAATGCCTGGCACCACAGAGCTCAATTGGCATTTGTCAATGAATACCAGAATTAGCAGGTCCGCCACTGGCACCCTGTGCTTTTCACAGATGAGAGCAGGTTCACCCTGAGCACATGTGACAGATATGAAAGGGTATGGAGAACATTATGATGCCTGTAACGTCGTTCAGCATGACCGTTTTTGGTAGTGGGTCAGTGATGGTCTGGGGAGGCATCCATGGAGGGACACACAGACCTCTACAGGCTAGAAAGCAGCACCCTGACTGCCATTAGGTATCAGGATGAAATCCTTGAACCCATTGTCAGACCCTACACTGGTGCAGTGGGTCCTGGGATCCTCCTGGTGCACGACAATGCCCGGCCTCATGTGGCGAGAGTATACAGGTAGTTCCTGGAGCTTGAATGAATTGATACCATTGAATGTCCCCCACATTCACCTGACCTAAATCCAATAGAACACCTCTGGGATATCATGTTTCGATCCATCTGACGCCACCAGGTTGCACCTCAGACTGTCCAGGAGCTCAGTGATGCCCTGGTCCAGATCTGGGAGGGAGTACTCCAGGACACCATTCGTCATCTCATTTGGAGCATGCCCTGACATTGTCAGACATGCATACAAGCACTTGGGGGCCATACAAACTGCTGAGTACCTTTTTAAGTTGCTGCAATGAAATTTCAGCAAAATGGACTAGCCTGCTGCATAATTTTTTCACTTTGATTTTCTGGGTGTCTTTAAATTTGGTCCTCTGTAGGTTGATAAATTTCATTGCCATCAAACAATGGGGCATCCTTACGTTCCTAACACATTACCCAGTCCATATCAGTATAGATATCCAGCATGATATATTTCCCCATTGAGATCTAATGTGTTTTTCAAAGTGTTCCTTTAATTTTTTTGAGCAGTGTATGTATGAACAAGATTGTGGAGTGCATGAGAGTTAATGGGTGACGTGGGCAATGGGGCAAGACTTTTGTGTCGGTGATCATTTAAAATGGATTTGGGGTAGTATATCTGAGATACAGATGAGAGACCAATGTCCATCCTATACTACGTAATGAGAAATTTTACTTCTGCAATGGGGTAAGGGGTATGGCTGCAGATTTATTTTCACTTTGCAAGAAATTACCGATATTACCGAATGGCATGAAGTTCTGCTGAATTCTCTCATCCAAGTAAGAGCAAGTTAAAAATTTGGGGTTTTTTCCTTGCATTTGATTGGAATATTATTTGCAAGGTGGATTTTCACCACATTCACCACACCATGGGAAAATTCCCTTGCCAAATGAAAATTGTTTGCAAAGTGAAAAGCCTTTTTTTGCCTTTAGTATATCAACCCCTGGATGTCTGAGCTCAGTGTGCAGTGTTCGTGGCAAGGACATAGACAGTGTTGTAATATGAAAAGTGTGGTGGGACTGTAGACTAAAGACTGGAGAGTATTCTGGGGAAGGGATATCGGGAAAAGACAATGTGTGTGTGCTGGAGGTGTGATCTCGCCAGGAAAAGACCAATGTGTGTGCTGCAGGTGTGATGATGATGGGGAAGGGCTAGTGAGGCTGATTTACACAGTGGAAAAATAAAAGTAGACAAGCCAAGCTGGGCAAAACGGATCAGAGGCATGGCTACAGACAGGGAAGCGCGATGAACTTGTTTGGTATAAAAGTTACATTTTCCATTTGTGGCATCTTTTGGAAGGGCGTTGCAATGCACCAGAGAAGAGACGGGCTCTCTCAGCCAGCCTTTGTCCCAACCTTGACTGGGGGCGATGAGTGGAGATTGAAGCCATGTTTTCTTTTTTAGAAGTCAGAAAAAGTAAAAATAAAAGTAAGAAAGTACTGTATATACTGTATGTAGGATATATAGGATGGTGTGTTGGACAGCAGGTCTTGCACATGGGAAAATGGGGAATAAATAATTTGTACATGTCCAGAAGACGTCTTTGAATATTATATTTAGGATTTGCTCAAGCAAGTGGAAGATATCTGAATGTGTTAGTTGGTAGGAGAGTAGCC